AGGTGTTTTCTGACGGTTAGACTGAAATAGCCTTTCAACAGCCCTTTGAGCTGGTAAACTCAGCAACTTCAGAGAAAGCAGACACGAGAGTAAATTAAGACACACACACCACACCCCCCCACAGTAAACATTAATGGGATTGTGAATGAATTGAAGCCTGAGAATAGTAGGGGAAGCTCACATATCTTGGGCACAAACAAAAAAAAAATCCTCAATTTAGACTCAAGCTATTCTTGCTAGTGTAAGGATTTGGTGCCCCTGTCTTACTCTTATCTTGGGCTCTTCCCATTATGAAACTTTTCAGTTGTGTGAATGTGTTTTATGTCATCAACAACACGAAACTTTGGTTATTTTCAGAGACAAAAAGCACTGGATCTAAATGATCTTTAAGGTCCCTTCAAACCCAAACCATTCTTGAATTCTATGATCTTAAATACCGGGTAGTTTTGAAGCAAACTCATAATAAAAAAAAGGCACCTTCATGTAAGTTGCATATCTATCTCATGATGCATGCAGATACACAGAACATTCATTATCCAAGTTGCTAACACATTTGGCCTTGTTTCTGGAATTTTCTAAGAAAAAAATAAAAAACAACGCAGTTGTAAATAACTAAAATTTTTAGTCAAGGAAACTATTTCTGTACGTACATTGGAGGAAAGAGAAAGTTAACACCACAGACACACAGACATTACTTCTCGCCAGTTATTTCTGACAGAAGCTACTTCTTTTTGATCTCTTCTCAAATTTTAATCCTCATTTTCATAGTATTGTGAAGGCCAGTAAACGAAGCCTGAATAAACCAAACACACCAATACTCTTTCAAGGTGTCAGCAACCTTGCTGATCCCATCCTAACAGGACTTGCGCTGCTCTATTTCCCTCACATTTACCACAGTAACAAATACACATTTGCCCCAACAACCTGCCTTTGAAATCAAGAATCACCATTTTGCAAAGGTAGAATACACAGGTCAAACCAGCTAGTAAGTCTGCCTAGCTGTTCAGCTGCTCTCCTTCTTCCTCTAAGAGAGGGTACAGGTAAGCCTTTCCCAAGCCTGTGAACTCCTCTTTGCCCTCAGTTTCTTGTAAGATGGAGTCAGTCCCAGTCCTTGGCCAAGGTACAGGCAAACAAATACTACAGATTCCACCTTTCCAAATAAATTATTCTTAGGGCTGCTATATTCAGCCTGTATGACCAGTAGATCCATATCTTCTCTACCCACCTTAGGCCAACAACTCACCGTAGTCATACAATCAGAACTAGCTGAGCTCAGGGACTAAGAAAAGCACTTTTCAGTCAAAACAGGCAACAAGCCCAAGTTCTCATTTAGCAGCACTCTGCTCTACTGTCCAAAACTGACCCAAAACTTAAGACTTACAAGATATATTGAAATTAGTTAAGAATCACTAATTGCATTTCTTTCATGGACAGATGAACACGTTATGATGTAAAAGTTACAGAAGTAGGCTGCTCTTTACATTATTATAAATGCCATGCACTTTGATATTATTTAAACAATTCTGCTGACAAAAAATTTCCAAGTATATCTGGCCACAAGTCAACAGTGTGACCCTAAGGTAAACCACCATAAGGCAGAATTCACATTTTTTTCCACTTGCTAAAAGCTTGACTTGGAACTGTGGGAGGGAGGCTGTTTGAGACAGTGAAAAATACACAGTCTTTTGCATGAAGTGTTGCAAGCTCTCCATTATTCGGTAGCGAATCAAGAAGTATGGTTTACAGTTTCCGTACAACTTACTTACAAGCAAGGACGTGGGGCCATACTGACTACCCTATCCTTTATGGTGGCTTCCAAAGGACAGCCCCAAACTAATCTTGACTTCCTCTCCACAGATCGAAGGAAAGTGCATGTGGCAAGAAAGATATGAAGGCAATAATCACCATTTTGCTGGGGATGCCCCATACCTGACCTCATAGCAAAGCTAGGGGGTCCTGGAACACACACTTTGCTGTTGAAGAACAGTTATTAGGCTCACCATGTCTTAGAAAAAGCTGTAGGAATGAAAGAATATAGTGGTTTGGACATCTTCATAGAAGCTAAAGTGGATGGGAAGGGCCAGTGATTATAATGCAGGCACAGAGATGGCAGCCAAAAAATGGAAATCCCTGGAGAGAGAGGGTCTCATACAAGAATAGAAGCTGTAATGGAACAAAACCGATAGCCATTTCAGTGTCCATGTGATTCTCTAACCTTCGTTAGCAGACAGGTTATTAATTCAGGAAGAGTTCACCCAATATAGGTTTCATACCTCTCTATAGTTAGTAACTCCACTGCAAGTTTCTAGATAAACATCTTTGTTCATCATCTTATCAAAATTAACTCCTTTTTCATATGGAAAAGGTTAAAAAGTGTTCTTTCTTTCTTGAACAGCTATATCTGTTGCAAACATAGGTGCTTTATGATGCCATGAGTCTTGTACATAAAATGCTTTTTTACACAGCACACCTAGTTGATAGCTCAGTGGTTCCAAGGTGACTGGTGAAAGAAAGACAGCTGTTTTCCTAGCTGTAATAAAAATAAATACAATAAAGTCAAACACTGACAATCTATATTTCTTCTAAAAATAGTATACATTATAACAGAAGATATAAGAATAAACTGAACACTCAGACCCCATATCTTGTAAACAGATATAAAACTAGAAAAAGTGTGTACATCTCAATTCATACAAAGAGGAAAAAAATATTTCAAGTATACTAATGAGTAATCCAGTGTGTGATGAAGTGTAAGGCTAACATTTTCAACCTTCAGTGCTGGATTTATGCAGAATCCACCTATGGACTCTCAAAAGCAGCTTTGTTTCCATCAGACATAAATCCTTGCAGCTGACATTGACTTTTCAAGATCTTCAAGGGATCAGAACTCATTTCCACAAGACAACAGCGTTTCTTCAAAATTTTACAAGTTTTAGTCATAAAACAGGAAAAGGGATAGATTCCAGCTGAACATCTTGATTCAGGAATGCTGCTGCATCATTTCATATTCCCATCATGATTCTTACGTGAGGGCTCCAGCTCCTTCCTGGACTCCATCTACCAAAGCAGAGCATACTATAATACCACACACATACAGCTGTGGTACGTTATGGGAGAGAAAAGTTGCTGGCATATATGCCAGCACTCATCACTCAGAACAACTTACACACTGACACATGATCCTAAATCATGGATATAGTAGGCCCAAGGTATAGGAATTACGTTGGACAAGCTGCATTATGAGCTATTTGCATGTATGCAGTGGCTGGCTCTGTACGAATTGAACATAGCAGGAAGCCCAGCCACAGAAGTAGACCTCAAAGCTGATTCTAGAGCTCCTACCTAAAGACAGAAGATTATTTAAAAAAATTAGAGTTGACAGACATCTGTCAGGACACCCCTGTTTCTAGAAGAGAAACATGAAACCCCTGTTTCTAGAAGAGGATCATAAACCATTTGAACTGTACCCCAAGATACAGTAGTACAATTTCCTCTTTAAAATGCAGCTAGGTGACTTACTGTTCTAAAGAGCAGCAGCTTTTTTGAGGAATGGTTAAAAAAAAAAAAACCAAACTATTAAAAATGCCAGCCTTCCACAAGTTTTAAGAAAAGAAAAAAATAAAATAACTCAAACCTCAAATTTAGGTCAGTCTTTTCCCCTTGAAACTGTATTTTCAGCTTCCTGAAGTCACTAAAATAAAATTAATGTCACCTCAGAACTAGTGCCTGACATTGAAAATGTTAGTCTTTACTTCTACCTCCTCTGTAACCGTATCACTCAGCATCTATAGTATAGTACTACTAGAAGGCCCTTTTCATTCTCTTAAGAAACTCAGTATACAGCATTAGACTTCCCCCAGCTTTGCTACTAATTCTTAGTAATTTCTACTAAAGTAAACAGTGCATCAACCTGTACCCCATTCTAGTTTTGCCCCACATCTTGACATACTGTTCACCAGTGCTTTGGTATATACACCTATGTACATATTAGTATTGTCTGAGATGCTCTTGGTAAGGGTAACAACTAGAAATATTTTAAAGTTACAACATTTTTGTGTGTGACATTATAGCTGTAAGTACTTTATACATGGTCTTGTATAACTGATTTTTCAGGAGTTAAACATCAGAATACAGAATAATAGTAGGAAAAATACAATTTCTAAAATATTTAAAGTGTAAATTGTAATTCAGAGTATCAAAATTCTTTGAGAAAGATCAGTCCAAACCATTGTAAGTGCTTTAATAACCATCTACCTGGACTGTAGACGAATTTATCTATTAATTTCCCATTACAGTGGCTTTAATCAGTAGATAAACTTGTGCTAGTTTCATGCAAGTGTGCAACTACTTCAGTGTGAGATGGAAAGTAGGTCAGGCCACAAGTCTGTGAAAGGGGAAGTTATACTCAATACTAAGGATATACTGTGGGTGAGGTGTTAGCTGTCACCTCACATTGCAAAGCAAGAGGCATTTTAGATAAATAAGTGCACTCAGAGTGTAGACTGTCTTCAAAACTTTGGAAGCTAATTTTAAGCACTTTTTTGGTCCCTACTGGTTATGGGCTGTAAAGTCTCTCTGAATTGCATGATTACTTCTGTAGCAAACATATGCCCTATGATGCAAATAATTATTTAACATCTACTCTTGTCTAAAAAAGACATAAAGCTTAATTTGGCTGAATGTGATGTTGAAACACTGGACTAATTGTAATATGCAAATCCAAACTGCTGCCTGGAACACTGAGGTGTTCCTGTGCCAAAAACAGTATGATAAAGCTTAAAAAGAAAATTAAAAAAAGAAAAAAAGAACAAAACAAACCCTCATCTTCTACCAGGTAGAACATATAAAACTGTTGAAGGGCTGCCAGAAAGGCCAAAAGACTTGCCTTCTAGTGGTGCCTTTCCCAATAGCAACACCACACAACTGACATGGTTCACAACCGGTGCAGTGAAACTGGGGTCTGGCTTTCTCATACTTCCTCTGCTTAGGAAGCCTATGAGCAGCAGCACAGGAACTGAAGGCATTTGTAGAATCAAGAACCAACGTGCATTATTCCATCCGCTTTTGCAAGGTCATCTTTGCAACCCTGAGGGCACAGAACATATATGTGTGTATACAGTACATAAAGCTTACACAGTATACAAACCGTCAGTACAGGCTCGCTCTCTCTCTCTTGCAAGGGAAACTTCCCATGTACCAGTAGCAGCTAGTCCCAGCACATGGACTAACATGGACACATGTTAGTCCCACATGGACTAACAACTTTCTTTGACCTAGAAGTCATGCTGGTAAGTTCTGTTCCCTCTTTTGGGCCATTCCTCCTCCACCCATTTCAGCAGCACTTTCACAACATCAATTCTCTTATAAAATTTACAGAGATCAATCAGCTGTTCCACAGTCCGGTCACTATTCCGTAGCAAGAACTCCAAGGTGGGACTCTGGGGCTTCTGTTCAAGGAAACACAATTCATCGTAAGTCATTCCCCACTTGCTTGCTAAATTCCTCCAGTTTTTCACTGTTGGGTGGCAGGGATCCAGCTTTATCCTCACTGTGTACAACAAGTCCTCATCATTCAGCATGTCACTGATGGTCGGTGCACGGAATAAGCACAAGGAGCAGGTGCCATTTTCCTTGCAGGTTTTCTTGAGATCTGCAGTGAAAACCATTACATGAGAAGAAGTTAGGATCTATTGCTGTGGTTTCACCAGGAACACAAAGTTAAAAGCACAAAGGGCTGAAAAGTATTATGTTACTGTGAATCACTTCAGAAAAAGTCAGAATAGTGACATGTAATGCCTTTCCTTACGGAGTACTCACGAAATTGACTTCTCTCTCCACTACACTCAGTGGCTATAATCAAAAGGCAGTAATTTTGGAAGTATCATATTTATACTTTATAGAAAAGGCATGCAATTCAATCCAGCTGATTCCCTTTTTTGCTGTTGGAAACTATGTCGCTTCCTCAAATCTGCCATAACCCCTGTTTACATCAGCAACAGGATTACGTGCACATGATATGCATCTCATATACCTGTGATGGAGGATAAGGAAAAGGGTTTGTACTTCTAAGCTGCTGCCTTCATAACAACACGAAACATTTTCACCAGGAGAACCTCTGCTGACAGCTGCAAACACAACTAACATTTAGTACTTTAACGCAATGAATAAGTGGAAAGGTTCCCTTGCTTTGTAGGGCTCTAACAATAATAGATGCCCTGTTATACCAAGCAAGCCTGTTTTAAATGTACATTATGGAAAAGAAGAAAGTGCATACTCCTCCAAAATACCAAGATGCTGGATGTAGGTGGTGATGTGTTCTAAAATGTGAACCAAATACCAAAAATTGCCATTTAGAGGTCTCCCACACACATCAGTCAGTATTTCCCCAGCAGTGTGAACAATGTGGTGCTGTCAGGCAATATTATATATTAATAACCTGTAAAAGTGTGTAGAAACCAGTTCTAGTCATACTGCTAGTTAAAAACTAATACCAAAACCTTTAACATTCCAGTGGTGTAGGTCACTGTGTGAGCATTTTGGCTGCAAATATGACCTTAAGCCTCTCTGCTTCTTTTTGAAGGCAAGGAGAACTTGCTATCTCTCCAAAGATGGTAGATAATGAATGCAGCCTACAAGCACTTTCTAAAGCTTCTGCCCTTCAGCGTTATCGTATACCTTTGAACGGGGAAATAACTGGTCCTACTTGGGATGAAACTCTTTGAAAAAGGGACCCTACAATAAGAAAACTTATATTAATCAAAAGATTGATTAAAACCAACATAAAACTGTGACACACAGTATACACGTGCTGGATCAGTGCTGGTCTAAGAGACCTGAACTGTATCTCTGGCAAAGGGCACATCTGGTACTTATGGCCACCTATTCATACAGACAACAGCATCTGTTAAGGTAGGGACTTTTTGTTTTCTTTTGGGGGGATGGTATCCTGTTTTGGTGGTGGGTTTTCTTGGTTTGCTTAGGTTTTTTTTTATTTGCAGTAATTATTGTCAGATTGTGTGAAAATTCCAGAAAGACAGTCAAATTGTGAGCTGAATGTGGCTTCTGCATATGCTTTGGGTTTTGCTTTTAAGGGAAGAACAGGCTATTGTTATTTCTGTAACATTGTTCATCAGTTTGCTTTTTCAGCAGGCCAGAGACAACTTCTGAAGTTTTCAACAAGTTAGGACGTGCAGCAACAACACTGCTGCAGACACATAACTTCATACAAATGCTTAGATTCCCTGCTAAGGGGAAACATATTCTAGTGACAACTTTGCTTACAGGTATTCCACAGGCCTTGCAGCTGTTCTCTACAGAAATACCTATGTTAAGTACTCTGTTCTTCTTGTGCACCCTAAACTCTTGCTGAAGTGAGCCAAAACTTGTTTGCTTCGCTTGTACCAGTATTTAGTTACACAAACAAGGCAAAATTAATATAATCCAATCAAAGCTCTGGCTGAGCTCAAAGGGCAGGAGAGCCACCTATCTGAATTTCATCTTACTTTGCTTTGCAAGGGTGCCAAAGTAAGTTTATCCTCCAACAGCAGCAGGGAAGAAGGTGTAAGGAAAACACAAGGCAGTTATAGGTAAACAGAACTTAACCAACCTACTTCTTGTGCTATATATACTGTGTACAGACTACCAAAAGCATTATAAAGAATGCTGCTTTTCTAAGATGCTCTGGTGTTAGATACTGATAAGCAAATGATGACCTACCCACCTAATTGCATGATTCTAATGCTACATAATAGGACAAGCTTCTTTACTAAGAGGAAATCCTCAGTTGTTCACTGTTAGCTTAACAGGGCTGTGTATCATCCATACACATCCCATTCCCAGAAGAGCTCATACAATTATGGGATAAGGCCCCACAGCCTTCTGCCAGCTTCTGCTCCTGTTCAATAGCTTTTTACAGATTTCTTACAAAGGTGGATATACTAGATATATTTGGAAAGCCCAACTCACACATTTTGTATGGTCTGTATTATTGATCACCACCCCCTTAAAACAAAGAGGGAGCTGTAAATGACTGGGAATGAAATGAGCTCCACAAGCCTTAGTTACCCAGGCAGTTCTTGGTTATGACAAATAGCAATTTTTAATAAAGTACTTTCAAAGAAAATGTAGGATAAAATATGTAGAACAGCAAAGTTGACATATTACCTGCCAGTGATTCATCAGTATGGCTTTGCATGTCTTTGTCTTCTGGCTACAAAGCAGAAAACAAATATAAATCAAAGCAAAACAATATATTTGAACACCAGAATAACTATTTGGCTAATTTACACGTGGTAGGAGATTACTTAGAAGAATCCCAAGCTACTTGTAAAGTCAGACATAGAATATATCTGATTTTGACAATTACTGACAATCTGCAGTCTTTTCAGGCAGTGTTCTCATGCTTCAGCTCACAGGAGTGCCCTGTTGGTTATATCCACTCAACAATGTCATCTTTCTAATGATATGCTATAGGGTTACATCTTTTGAATATGTTCTTACACCCTCAACAGCTGTTCAACAATTTATATGGTTTGATTAAAAACATTTTTCAAATGCTTTGTAATGAAAAAAAAGAATTTGCCTGTAACATGCAGCAGTAAGGGATTGTTTCATTTATCTAGGAAAAGTGGAGGAGCTTTTTCACAAACGTCTTTACATACACAGGAAGCTTTTCTAGGCAACAGGTGGACTTGAACATTGCTGACTCATGTCTAACCCTCCTCCTGTTCATAGTAAACATTCCTTCTGTGGCTGTTTGCCTGCTAATTAAATATCATGAAATTACTTCGCAATTTGAGTCTGCAACACACATCGTAACATTTCTATTCTACAATTTAGAGAGCATCATTTAAAACCTAGAAAGCCAGTACCTTGATCCTAGGACTGCAGGAAACTGCAGCTGCCCTTACTTTAACTATGCGGGTGTGGAGCCAGGTGAAATAGCTTTCTTCTGCTGATGATTTCAAGATGAAAGCAGACAGGGGGTTTCCCCTTTGATAGCTGCAATCAAATACTGTTGATTTTCTGTATCACTTCACTCTTCCAAAACTATCACAGCAGGCTCCTTTACTTTTTTCAGGCAGTGCATGCAAACACAAGTCAACTGGGTAACAATATAGTGTAATAAGATACTCTATTCCTACCTGCTATGCCTTGTTTACTAAGAAATCCACTAAAAATAGAATATAGGCAGTTTCAGTTGATGTGGTGAACATGCCATTCACAGTCCAATTATAAAGAAGGTAAACTATCTCTAAAATATTTAAAGACTTCGCTAGGAAAAGAAAAATTTGCATGCTGTTTTCAGCATTTTTTTATTCCCTGAAAACAGCAAGAACACACATGCTACATCAATTCACCCCACAAAATGCCTGCTTTCTGCTCAAGAGATCTAACATTACATAGGCCACTTCCAACAGAATAATCCTTGCTATTATCTTCTAGTAGTTTACTTTTCCACTGCCAACATGTAAGCTTTCTCTGGACAGAGCTTTTTAAACATGAACTGGCACCATGTGAGCACCAAAAGTTTAAGAAAAATTAAATCTGGAGATCCTTATTATAGTCATTGCCTCCATTCCCACACATCTCTAAAAAAAGTAGAACATTACTACTGAGCCCTGAGAAACTAATCCCCAGAAGGACAAATCACTGCGAGAATGAGGAGCTGCCTATCACAGATCTAGCCTCCCCAGAGATCTGTTTGAAAAGTAATAAAAAAGCAAATAAAAACTAAAGGCGTGGGGGGGAGGAAAGAGGGGGAAAAGTGGATACTATTCACTTAGTTTGCAATAGCTAAGTTGCTGTCCTGAGCTTCAGTAACATCTCCCAGACTTTATGATATCACGAAAGTTCAAACCATATTGTGAAAGTTAGTATCTAAATGCCTTTAAGAGATGTCATTATACTCATGTCTTGTGGTTAAAAAATAACAAGAATAGCTACGACTGCAAAAAGAAAACTGGAGATACTTACCTGTGCCACACATCTGTTTTCAAAATTCCTATTTTTACTGATCAGTTATAATCCACTTTTATCAAGTCAGATGCACTCAGATTTATTCAAGGTAACTTTCTTTTAACGTAATTGCAATAGGACAATGTAATGTTACTGGCCATGAAATGAAATCATTAAGCAAGAATATTTTTTGCCCACCTTAGTTGTGACCTCTACAGGTCTAATCAAAACTCTAAATGCTCTCTTCTTGATGACAGGAATAAGACTGTTACCTCCACTACCTGTGAAACGCATACCAAACCCATGTTTGTTTCTGATGAAATTCAGCTGGGACTCTAGTATAAGGAACTCCTTTTAATTCTCTGCCTTGCTGGAAAATGCTCATTCATTTCTCTTCTCCAAGTTTTCTGCTCAACCCAAAGAGAATCTATTTGAAATTCAGCAAAAAACATTCAGTTGAAAGATGGTAACCATGGAGTGTGGGGGTCACTCAGCATTGCCCACCCTAAGGCAATGTAAGATTTCACAAACAGTGCAGAGTGTTTCCACTACAGGAGGAGCAGTGTTCCAAATTCAAAGCAGAAGAGTCAAATGCCTCCCAAAGGGCAAAACTCCCAAAACCTAGGATTCCTTACTTCTTATTCTCTGCCCTGGCTCTATTCTCAGCCGGAAAGAGGAAAAGCATGTATGACAAAGCCTGAATTCTTTGTCAGCTCTTCTTTGAAGCATCTACACACTAATCAAAACCTGTTTAAACTATGAAGTACACATTCATAATTAAATAACCTTTCTTTTGCTCTTCTCCACAAAAGCTCACTTCATTGAACTCAAAAAGAGAACATATATCTGATCTGTTTTACTGAGTAATTCCATGCTCTCCTGATATAGATTGAAGATATATTTGTTAACATACTTATTTAATAGACAGCAATAACTTAGTTTACATTCAGGCATCATTTTTCTTACCTGCTGGATTAGGCCAGAATCTGACGTAAGGGTCTTGATGTTCACAGATGCAATTTCCAGTGTAACTTGATCTGTTAGGTATTCCTCATCTAAGACAAAGATTGTGAAATACTGGTCTTCCACCCAAAAACAAATTTAAATATTAAGACTATCAAACATGAATTATAGGGACCTAGCATACAGACTTCAGCTGCATATCACAATCAGTCAGTGTGAAATGCTGGTTTAAAAGCCCTAAATATTAAATTGTCAGAGACTGAAATAATCACGCAGAGCATGATGTGTGAATTAAAATAAACCTGGCGGAGACTAGGTATTAGTGTGGCAGTTGTTTTTTAAACAAACACCACGCTATTTTTGAAACAAAAGTCATGTTCTTCTTTCAAAAAGACCAGAGAATATTAACTGAACCGATACATGAAAGTAGGCTGAAGATGACTGTTCTAAGTCACTATAATTTTTGCTTTGCTTTTCTTGTCACGCCTACAATAACAATTGTTGAAATGTGTACTCCACAAATATTTACCTTTTATTCTGCCCCTTTGTAAATTCGGCTCATACTACTGATCTCTACCACACAGCAGTTTTCTGAAGTGCTGAAATAATCTGTTTCAGTGTGTTTATTGACTGTCCTGTGAGCCCACTGAAAAGCACCACATTCCTCAGAACAGCACAAACTCTATTTACCTTTCAAGCTTTACTTTAGCCTTCAAAATAAGGTACAAGGGATATATAAAACCTTTGTGAACCTTGTGAAAACAGACAATTTTCACTCTGCATGATTAATAAGGTCCTCATCATCAAACCATCTGCATAATTCCCGTGTCAGGTGCTGACCAACCATTAACACAATATTAGAAGAGAATATATTCTACACGTTTTTACACACAAGTACTCGCCATAGTGATGACTACGTTTGTAGTGCTGGTACATTTCCATTTGCTATTTAATAGTAAGATCTCATTAAAGAACAGGTATTATCTTTATGAATCATCAGATAACAGAAACATGACATAGTTCCTCATCTCGCTCAAGAAACTGAGCTGAATCAAAGAATTCATCCTTACACTTGCAAGAAAAAAAGAATAAAAAAATATTTTCCTCTTTTTCTGCTCTTATAAGACTGTTTAAACTTAAAGCCAAATAGAATTCCACCCCCAGCAGCATAACCATTTAATGAGGATCATCTTTATTATTTAAGACTGTAGGTCCAGAGACAACAACAACAAAAATAAATAAATAAATAAAGGTCTGCCTGAAAATGCAGAGCATGGGCACCAAGATTCCACTTCCTTTGTGTGGAAAAATGTTGTGTGAATTTGTTTCATATTTGAGCAGAGGTAGAATTATAATCAAACTGTGATGTAAACATTAAGCCTACTTACTAAACATTAAGCCTACTCTACTAAAACATTAAATCTGAAGCAAATGTAACTTTTTGTTACAGAGAAACATACATGCGCATTGATACCACTTCTTAGTTCACAAATACATATTTCTGTATTTTTATAGAAATAGTTTTGAAAAATCATTCTCATAAAAAAAATTTAAAACATGAAATGAACAGAATATTAAGAGGTAATATGTCAGGCTACATTAGTATTCACATGAAAATAAAACTGAGTTCACTTCCTTTCTACAGGAAGTGCTGAAATTTCTACCTCCTCTCAGCTTTCTTTTTTATATTAAATATGTTTAAAACATGGAATCTCTGATTTCAAATAACTTCCACAAATTCAAAATTTAGGAATTTATCTAATTTATTTTGAGCAGGACCTACTGTCACAGCTGTAATAAAAACCAGGACATGACAAATAATGTTACAGAGAAATTGATTTAGTGTTAATAAACAATTCTGAAGGAACAAACCACCTGCTTGCAAACAAAGTGATTTATGATTTCGAATAGTTTTCATCCCACATCCTCCTTCCCTACTGAGCACCAATTCTGAGATCCTCGTTTCCTCTGGCTGGCTCCCTCAAGCCCCCAGAATATTCTCTAACCTTCCTTTAACCCCAGTGGTATATTGCTTACACAGCAAAAGCTTCCATTGTGACTAGCTTCTGCATGGTTTCCTGTATCTGTCCTTGCTGCAATCCTGCTGTGCAACACAGGATGCAAAACCTGCAGAGTGCTCCTCAACTGAGCCTCTGCCAGTGTATTCCATAGGCAAAAGCCAATGGCGAAGCCTAGGATTACAAAAAAAATGCACCCCACATGTCAAGGAAACCATAAAGGGGATAGTGACACTGTGTAACCCCAAGTATTTGACTTCGGTGCAATAGAGAACTTGCACTCCCTCACTTTATTTGCAGTGAAAATGAACTCAGATGGTACTAATACCTGCTAAAGGTAAAAGATGGCATGAGGAGTTTATAGGGTTGAGAATGCAATCAGAGGCAAGAGAACTGGAAGGTATTTCTGATGATCTAAAGGCACTAGTAATTTCCTCAAATCCACCTTCTAACACTATCGTGCCTCTACCATCCGACCTCTGAAGACTGTTTTTCAATGGCACCACTGTATTTTCCTTCCAGGTTGAGAACCAAGATCTTCTGAGGATAGTTTTAAACTGACCTTTTCATCAAAATTAAGCTTTGAAATGTAATTTCAAAAGTTATATATACACACCAAACTGACTCGAAACATATGAATCTAGGAAAAAAAGTAAGATATTTCAATCAGTTGGGTAACAGCAACTGTTTCATTGCACATAACACAGATCTGTGACACCTGAACAGACAGAACTCACAACACTTACCTTTAGGAACTCCTGTGTCTTGGACAGGATATTTTTCAATCTATCATAAAAAGGCAAGAGACAGGTGTTTGTTACTTTGAGTGTAATCATGCTGGAGAAAGAGTATGTGATTATGCATCACTATAGTTGTATCCTTTAAACTGCTACTTGTTGATCTGTCTACAATCACATGTAGTAACACTTATATTACTGTTACCTGATATACTCCTGTATCGGCATAAGATTGGCACATTTAATATCCTAAAATGCAAAACCTTGCCATAAACGGTGTTGCTCTGTCAGCAAGCACTAGAGAGCGCTGTTTGGTCCCTTTCTAGGTTCAATCACACCTGCTGTCTTACGTTCCATGACTTCAACTCAACAGCTAAAATAAGTACAGGAAGGAGTAACAGCTTCGTACAATTGAAATTTTAAGCCCTATGTGGGTTTTCTTATCCCTCCAACCCATATAAGACCGAAGAATGTCAGTCGCCAATCTTTAACTAAAAAAAAAAGTACTGTCAAAGCCTGCTCAGCTGGTATCATCCAATTCAACTTATGTACCTATTTGTATTTTTACATACACTTTAATTGCACAAGGTTAGTAAATAAAAATGTTTAATGCAATCATACAGATAAGAAAAACCTCATATATACTCACAGTTTAACATCCTTGTATGGTTTACCTTAGTTCTGCATCACATAGCTAACTATAGAGAGCCATAATGATTTGAACTGTATTAGACTTGAAACACATACCATTGTTAAGGAAAG